TCTCTCTCTCTCTCTCTCTCTCTCTCTCTCTCTCTCTCTTTCTCTCTTTCTCTCTCTCTGCTTCCTCATAGAAGAAGCTTTGTTTTCGTGAATTTCGTATATGAACCTTTGATTGCGTATAAAGTTGGGTCTAGTCAACCAAATTTAAATGAATTATATATGAAATAGAGGTAGAAGAAACCAAAGAAAAGATTGTTTTTTGAGTTTTTGATGCCAATATGTTCAGAGTGTTCTAAAATGTCGAAATATCGCATTAAAATCGCATGTCCGTATGTGTGTGTGTGTGTGTGTGTGTGTATGTGTATTTAAAAAAATTTTTGAATTTTCTTAGAAATGTCCGTGGTTGCCCTAATTTTCGTAAATATTGAGATATCGGGCCGAATTTTTTTTTAATCGATAGAGTATCATTCAAGGAAAGTTGGTATTGAATTTGGCGATAATCAGTAAAGAGGTTTGTTCGAGATCCGTCGAACTTTCCTACGCGAAACATCGGCTCGAAAACATTATTATATTTAACATCGAGAAATACCGATGTTTATGTTGTTCGAGCTCTGTCGAACTTGTTCGAAATATACGTTCCCCGCGATCCCCGCGCCCTCGAAGCCCATCGATCGCGATCACGCGTTACGAGAGTGCTCCCTTATTTGTCGAAGCACGAAAACGGCTGCTGTGACGCGTGATGTGACCATACGGACGAATAGCGATTCAGCTCTCATCGCGCGTTCGTTCCTGAAAAACAACCCTCTTGGGTAAACGGCGAATTCGCTCGCCGGACAGTCAGTCGTTGCTGAGGATTCCTAGCCTCAAGTCGTGGGCCAAAACTCATAGCCGAAAGTCGTTGCGTATCAATCCTCGTCTAAAGACAGCACGGCTCTCTCCCTCTTAAATCGCTGCTTGAATCGCTACTCGCTCGTTTCGTCTTAAAGTGCGAATCAAAGTTACTTATATTTTTTCATTAAGTGTGCTACTTAGCGAGGGGTCCGAAAACTTCCGGTCGTGCTCCGCTCGCGATCGTTCTTCTGCCGCGCGCTCAAGATTTCCGTTCGACGCGTACAAGATCTCCGCTCCGCGAGAGGCTTCGATGCGAGAAGCTGAGACAAGATTTCCATTCGCGATACCTGGCAGAAAATTACGAACGACTCAGAAGATTTCCGAATCCGCGGCGCACGATCCGTTGTTCCCCCTCGCGTCTTTTCCGTTCTTGAAATAAAGACTATATATTTCTTTGTGCAATCTGTGTTCCGAGTGCTTTAATCCTCATTCCTCCCGCGAATTTACGACTCGCGTTATCCACGCTTCTCGCTCAACTCTGAGCGAAATCCAGATTCAGGGCGACCGTCGGAAAGCGACGCCCGAACAAGGTTCTTTTAAAAAAATTTTTTTTAATTTTTTTAAAAATGTTCGTGGTTGCTATAACTTTTCCAAATTTTGAAATATTGGGCTATTTCTAATTTTATTATATTCTTCAGTCTTTTCTACCCCTATTTCATATATAATTCGTTAAGATTTGATTGATTAGTTCTGGAGTTATACAAATTTCGATAAATTTGGTTATTTTTTTTAACAAAAATTGGGAACCCTTTTATTATTAACTTCAAAAGATTGAAGTTCTATTATATTCTTCAAAAGATTGAAGAATATAATAGAATTAATAAAAATTGCTAATAATAAAGAGGTTACCGATCTAAAAAAGTCTTTTATCTAAAAAAAGTCTATATGATTGCCCTAATTTCCGCAAATTTTGAGATATCGAGTTTAATTTTTTTTTATGAATAGAGTATATGTATATATCATTAAAGGTAAGTTAGTGTTAAATTTGGCAATGATCGGTGAAGGGGTTACCAATTTTTACCTAAAAAGTGTACAAGTTATTCGTTAATAAATCGAATTTTTTAAAAATAATTTTGAATTTTTTTAGAAATAGCCGTGGTTGCTCTAATTTCTGCAAATTTGGAGATATCGATCTATTTCTATTTTTATTATATTTTTCGGGTCCTTTTAAAGGTCCATAATTTTGATCGTATATAAAGCTAATAATCAACCAAATTTAAAAGAATTATATATGAAATAGGGGTAGGAAAGACCGAAGTAAAAATTGTTTTTTAAGTTTTCGATGCCAATGTGTTGCTTATGTTCGAAAACGTCGAATTTAAATTTTTTGAGGATCGGTTTTGAGGATTGGCTATCCATCAAATAACTTAGGGTAGATTGAGGCGAATCGAATTAATATAAGTTGTAAGACAATTTTCGTTAGTATTTTATTTTAAACGAGCAATTTTAATTAGTAATCCGATTTGCCTCGGTCTATCCTATACATTTTTTAGGCAGAAATCGGTAACCCTTTCACTAATCTTCGCCAAATTCGAAACAACCTCCCTTTAATGATACCTTATATATAAACTTACGTGTATGATTTGTACACTTTTTAGGCAAAAATTGGTAACCCCTTCACTGATCATTGCCAAATTCAACACCAATATATCTTTAATGATACTCTATCCATAAAAAAAGTGTGCAAGTAGAAACTTGCACATTGCTTCCTCATAGTTTTTTAGTGTGCAAGTAGAAACTTGCACATTGCTTCCTCATAGTTTTTAAATGTGCAAGTAGAAACTTGTACATTGCTTCCTAATAGTTTTTAAGTGAGCAAGTATAAACTTGCACATTGCTTCCTTATAGTTTTTAAGTGTGCAAGTAGAAACCTGCATTGCTTCCTCTATGAGGAAGCCAAATTAATAAATATCTACTAATAATTATGCATACAAAAACAGGCTTCCTCATAGAGCAATGTGCAGGTTTCTACTTGCACACTTAAAAACTATAAGGAAGCAATGTGCAAGTTTCTACTTGCTCACTTAAAAACTATGAGGAAGCAATGTACAAGTTTCTACTTGCACATTTATCTTGCTCTTCTCTTGTTTCTGCTCTTTCGCTTTCTTTCTGACTTTATAGCTGCATTAATCATATCTTCTGAAATTTTGTGCACGCTGGAAGTATTCAAAAGATGTATGTATTGATACAAAATATTTTTGCATGTATGCGACATAGATACAAAGTCCTATGTATGCTAAATTGCTAAAATATTGTCAACAATATTTACAGGGGAACCAAAAAGAAGAAGTTTGACGTCGTCATTTACACAAATGTTCAAACGATCAAGTGGTAGTTTAGGTCCAAGTCTAACAATTTCTACCAGTCAACCGTCCAGTATATCAGAAGATCAGCTGCAAATAGTTGGATCTGGATATAGGTAAATTGTCTTAGATTTTTTATTACTTACTACGCATTATAATATCGATATTTTGATATTATAATAATTACAATATCTTACATAACTTTGAACAGTCAAATCTATCGAGAAATTTATGTTTGCGGAAAGTAGCATAGATATGGGGAATTTAATTTAAGGGTTGTTAAGGGAAAGTTGGCCACCTAGGCAGTAAGAACGCGTTACATGTCTTTCACACATCGAAGCATTATGAGGATAGGTAACTGGCAGTCCATGGTTATATAGTCAAAGATAAGAGAGATTGAATGTCCAACATGCGGTGTCATTATGTTTGGATATAGAGGAGTTTTTGCAACACCCGTTGAAGTCTTGGCTGCAGTCCATTTAACCTAACACTACAAATGCTTTGAAACATTTTTCTCCTTTTTTTTAAGAAAGAAGAAGAACGCTTTAGAGCATTGTAGCATCAAATTGACTGCAGCTTTCAATACATGCGAGACTTATAAGAGGAAACCGCGTACTTGGAGTCACCAAATTGAAAAACATTTTTACATAGTATACTACTCTACCAGAAGAGTACTTGAGCGCGCAAAGAAATAAGGCGCAACGCTCAGCCATTTCCGAGAAAAAAAATTGTAAGTCTACGATTACTACATTGTCGACCCAAGTTCAATTCCTGTCCCTCGCACTTTTTTTAATTTTTTCATGCAATAACTATTTATTTGTGTAAAATAAAGTTAATGTAACCAACAATTTTGTTTTCTCTTATAAATTTGCATTTTCAAAAGGCAATTGAAAAAATTTTTTACGAGGGACAGGAATTGAACTCGGGTCGACAATGTAGTAATCGTAGACTTACAATTTTTTTCTCGGAAATGGCTGAGCGTTGCGCCTTATCCCTTTGCGCGCTCAAGTACTCTTTTGGTAGAGTACTATACTATATGTAAAAAATGTTTTTCAATTCGGTGATTCCAAGTACGCAACTTCCCCTTGTTAGTTAACCCGCCTTTTTTAAGCCTTGTATCCACGATGCTAGAAATTGCTCTGAGGTCTTAGACGGAGAAAGAATTAACCAATTGCATTGGTCAATTGCCGAATTGTTTAAATGTGATTGATCAATTTTTTCTCCATCCGAAATCTCGGAGCAATTTCTAGTATCGTAGACACAAGGCTTTAGGAAATGATAAAACTACCTGGCACGATAACGATAACTTTGGCCCCTTGATTTGACGATGGTAGTATTTCTTGTAGTATTTTTTACGCTGAACAAAAAAATATAAGGTCTTATAGGGCTAACTGCTTTAGTTTTCGAGATACACGGTTAAAGTTAAAAACAAATAATATAAATTTTTAAATAATACTTTAATTGTGTGATAGACAACTGTCTAAGTGTATAGGCTACCGCCCTTCCCCCGCAGGCAGGATAGGGGTGGATCTCGGTTCGCATAGAAAATTGAAAACCCGAACCGTACAATTATAGATCTCGATTCAGGTGGGGTAAACCTTGGAAAATTTTTTTAACTATTTTTCCCGTGTTTCTCGCCAAAAATTCCTCTAAAAACTACTAACATTTCGAGGGGCCAAAGTTATCATAATCGTTATAACTACCTTTTCAACCGATTCGTTGACAGTTTCTTTCATCTAATTGTAACATACAAAAAATTAATTATTTTTTGTATGTTACAATTTGATAGAATACACCGAGAAAAAAATTTTGTTGAGAAACACAAAATGTGTTTCATCCAACTAAAATATTTAATCCGATACTTTCAACTAAACATTAGTTGGATTAACTAATTCTTGATTAAAAAATTTTTTGATGGTTGACATGACTATATCTTTTTTAGTGCAACTTAATAATTGTTCAATCAACCGATGGATCAACAACTATACAAATTTAGTCCGTACAATTAATTTTTTTTCTCAGCGTAGATTTGTAAAATGTTTCAGATTCTTGTCACTTGGCCATGTAAAATAAAAATTATTTGGATAATCAACATTTTCATTCTATATGTTGTTCTATATGTTATCGGAATAAGAAAAGAGATTAAGATTTTTTAATAAAGAAATTATTTCATCTCAATGTATTACTCGTACAGAGGTTTTGCAGAAACAGCTGCAATCTTGATAAATTTATTTCTATATTAATGGAAATAATTAAAAAGAATTTATATCATGTTTTATCAATTTACACGCAGTCTCACCACAAATTATGTCAATAAATTTCTAATATATCTAAAAAGTAATAGAATTAATTTTTTTTAATCTTGAGCGCTATTTATCAACGATTAGTGACATTTTGATTGATGGTTTATATCTACTCTATCAATTATCAAACATGAATGTTGAACGTATACAACAAGTTACAGCGATCGAAATAATAGTATCTTTAGGCACTTTATCATTGATACATAATGGAGCAAAGAGCGAAAATGTCAAAATCTGTTTTAAACTCGATAACACCGCGGTATAAATCTATAAAATGTTGAAATAAGTTAAGGGGACTAGGAAGGGTTGAAAATGCAGAAATTAGCTCGTGTTTAATTGTTTATAACAAGGCCGCAAATGAACATAAAACTTTTTTATTGTTAAGGGTATTAATTATAACATTATAAAATGAGAAAATTCATTAAAAGCCATTCCCAGATCAATAATAACGGCGTCCCAATATAATAAAGAAAACTGTCGAATCCACGGTTTTACCACGATTCCAGTCGAACGGATAAAGGTTTTGGCAAATTTCAGAAATATTTCTTCTCCTTAGGCTTCCTTCTATTGATTATACCTAAAAAAATAAAAATAGAAATAAAATTAACAAAATGGCGTCTAGAAAACAAAATTTTTTTCTTGAAATTGCTTCTCTTTATTTAGTAAAAGCTAATCTATTACAATCTTATCTTCCCTTTTGTGTATCCACTTTTCTTTCTCATTTCCCGTCACGTTCCGTTAAATAAATTATTATTTTATTATTATTATTTTTTATAATAATTTTATTTTATTGCTAATTGTAAATATATCTATACTACTATTATAAAGAGACAGAGTTTGTCGGTTTGATTGTTTGTCCTCGATGATCTTGGAAACCAATGGACCGAATTTTTACCAAAAGTATATGAAATAGAGGTAGAATTTCCCGGGGAGTGTCACTGTGTGTATAGTTTTTTGTTACTGATCTTCTGAAAACCGGATTTTCTAATTTCTTCAATTTTTCGGGAAATAATTGACGGAATGTCAAAGAATTGTATATAATATAGGGGTAGAATTTTCTGGGGAGTGCTATAAGCTGTATAGTTTTTCGTTACCGATCTTTTTGAGAACCGGTATCTTTTTGGAAATCGGTTACAAAATTTTTCCAATTTTTTAGGAAATAATTGAGTGAATCTTAAAGAACTGTATACGAGGGAGGGAGAGAGGGAGCGGGAGAGGGAGGGAGAGAGGGAGCGGGAGAAGGAGAGGAAGAGGGAGAGGGAGAGGGAGAAAGAAAGGGAAAGGGAGAGAGGGAGGGAGAGAGAGAAAGAGAGAAAGAGAGAGAGAGAGAGGGTGGGAGGGAGAGGGAGGGAGAGGGAGGGAGGGAGAGAGAGAGAGAGAGAGAGAGGGTGGGAGGGGGAGGGAGAGGGGAAGAAAAGAAGAGGGAGAATTAGAGAGGGAGAGAGAGAGAGAAAAAAAGAGAGAGACTATTTGCGTGTCTTAATACACATGTCCTCCGGGGCGAAACCCGGGTAACCAGCTAGTTGTACATATTTTTAAAAAAATTTTTATGCAACACGTGCATGGAAAGTGCCCCATTACGCACGCTACGCGTGCGTGATAGACCACTTTCCAGGCACTTGCAACATAAAATAGGGAGTGTAAGCCGTGTGTAAAGATGAAAATTCCCGGGTGCGGAGTTTACGCACGAGCCGAAGGCGAGTGCGGTAACCGCACCCGGGAATTTTCATCTTACCTCACTTGTTACACAAATAACTATTGAATATGCATATTCTTTTAAATTACAAAAAATGTAAAAAATACTACAAGTACAGTAAAAATAAAATAATAATGCTAAAACTGAAATATGTGTAGGTATAAATAAGATCTAATTAATATTTATTGCTTTACTCTAAATTAAATCTAAATTCAAATCAATTTCAATCTGACAATCCAAATCAAAATTAATAATGAGAAAGAAACCACAATAAAACCAAATACTTCTCTGAAATATTTTTGAACAAAATTAATATTACTTTTTTTACCTTTTTATAACATTAAATAAGAGATTTATAATACTATAGGATTATTAAACAAATAAACTACTAATAAATTATTAATTATTAATAGATAAAATCCATATTTTTAATGTAAAAAACATAACTTTAGATTAGATTATGACATTAGAGCTTATACAGTTGAATCTTCTTATTGTATTCGCTCGCTCGCTCTCTCCCTCTCTTTAATATGGATTATAGCGCGCGCTTCGCGCGCGCCTTGTTATGTTTTTTATGTGTTATTATCTGTGCAAAAAACATTTGTACACTCAATTAATTGATTGAATCGAGACGACCAATCACGTTCGCAATGACACGGTAACAATTGCAAACGCGATTCAGCCAACTTCCAGGGTTTCGTACCGCTTTTATAAGAGGATCTATATGACTATATATATTTACATTAATTAAAATATATATATTTTTGTATATATTTAAAATATTAACAGATTTTAAAGTGAGACTGTGTATACTATTAAACGTTAACGAATAATGATTTAAAAAAAAATTTATTTATTTTTACATAAAATAGATTTATACAATTGTTTGGTTTAGATTTTATTTTATCTCAATATGCAATAAGAATTTTATTCCAATACAAATGCTTGAAAATCGATATGCAATATATAGATGTATGCTATTGATTAGGCTTTAAACATAATCTTCTTTTTTAACAGATATACAAAAACTTCGTGGGAATCGCCAACTGAAGTGAGCCCAGTACAAAATGTTGTACTATGTGCTGTTATATTAGATGAATGGCTTAAAGAGCTCGCAGCGATCACTCAGGAGCATGCCATTATGTCCCTTACAGATAAAAATAGATTTAAATCTTAACATGAGAATTTATAAGAATATAAAACTTACAAGAGAATATTTGAAAGTATCCTACTCCGCTTATACACGCAATTCAAATGTAAAAAAATAAGAGGCATGTATTTTTTTCAAACAGTATAATTGTACATAAAATGCTGAATTTAGCATATTTAAACGAAAGTGGTGAGATATATGAGACGAGCGTGGCCTAGTAGACAGCGCACTGGTTTATTGAACCGAAGTCCCGGGTTCAATTCCCGGTAGAGCCAAAAATTATATTCGCTCGTTCTCCTCTCGAAAGGCAATGGCAAACCACCGAGAGTATGTCTTGCCAAGAACGCTTCTCTAAAAAATTATAGTCGTGCAAAAACGCGTCGATTGAACATAATTTTATCTATATTCGTGTTCAGGCCCGTATTCTAAATAAAAACCCTTAATATTATTGTGTCTCCGAATCTCAAAGTAAGTGATTCCAAAGAGTAATGCATGCTGAACACGAATCCAGTGAAGTTCTTTTATTTTCATTGATTTCTAATATTTTATGAGCAACCAAACTTAAAACTTGTGTCCGGGTCGAAGTCGTCACCAAGCCATATCATGGAGGCTTCCGGCGAAAATCAAAGTCAAAGAAGCAGCAGTGGTCGAATTTCGGCGAGTACTCGGGTAATATGTGCTGCGTATGCTCAGAGATGACAGAATAGAGCTGACGAGAAACGTGCGAGCATAGGGCACATAACTGTGTGCGCTTTTCTTGTAATTATTTTCCGCCATTGTGTAATTAATGTTTCCATTTTTCTATTAAAAAATAAATAAATTAATAAAATGTAGGGGAGACCGGGGCTAAGCCGACAGCGGGGCAAACTTGACACTAGGCTTTTTGCCAATTTAAATCTATCGTAGAAACTTGCTTTTGCTACTGTAAATGCGTCTTTATGTGCCAGTATTATCAACGGAATTTGGTAACATTCTGAGTTATAGTGTAATTTTTAACGCGACATAAGTGTTTTTGATAGTGAAAAGTAATTTTTCTGATCTCTCGAAAATGTCTACTCTTTCATCGAGCTTTACTCTTGCGAATCTACCGGTAAGTGATTTTGATGGGAAATTCAATGCTTTATATGAATCCGATAATAATTTTTGCATATTTTCAAAATTTATATATTTTTGGAGTAACAAAAGTAAACAACGACGTTCGGGGCTAAGTCGATACGACGCCACCGGGGCAAAGACGACACTAACCTAAAGTGACATTATCGCAAAAAAGGTCACTGTTTCGTCCGATTCCGATGACGATTTAAGGAACATCTGTTGCGTGTGTTCGGAAAACATTTCATTAGCTTCTAATAACAAACAATGCATCTTATGCAACCGTATGGCTCATGACGAATGTGTGCGCACATCTGATCGCGAGTTTAAATTGTGTGTTTAAACGTGTATAAATTGTTTTTCAGACAGTTCAGAAAAAGATAATTAAAAGTTTAATCTTTTTTTTTCTCATTATTTTAAATAATTGTTTACTTTATTCCGACTTTTTGTTTCTAATACACAATGTCTTTTCATTTGATAAACAATGTATTTTTATTTTTAAACAATAAAAAAATAAGTTCCAGATCAAATTGTGTCGATCAAACAAAGTGTTGTGTTTGCCCCGGCGGGGTGTCGAGTTCGCCCCGTCATTTTTCAATTCGAAAATTTGTCTTCGCGTCACTTTTCCTTTCCTGGCGGCAAAACAAAGCGACGTACAGCAAAACTTCCTGAATCAATTTTGTACCTGAAGAAACACTCTTTAAATATATATCATTGAATTTGCTTAAAAATGTTAATTAAATATTAAAAATTGCCTTTGAAAAAATAGTGTCGGCTTAGCCCCGGTCTCCCCTATCCTATCATTTTTCATGATTAGAATTATGAATTTTCATTTAAAATTTAGTCCGAGAATGGAGTGACGACTCCGCCCCAGCAGTTTTGACATTTCAAATTTTGTACCTTTGTCGTTTTCACTCTATACCAGTTGAACAAAGCGACGTAGGCAAAAAATGTCCGTATAAATTTTGTAGCCAAGGGTTCACTCTTTACAACGGTATACTACATTTTACTAAAATTATTTGTTTTATTGTTAAAAATCGACACCGAAAAAATAGTGATGACTTTACCCCGGTCTCCTCTACATATATGTTTCAAAGTTTATATTTTATTTATTTCGCACGCTACAAAACTTTTTCTTCAAAATAGATAAATATTGGCATTTTCTGTCACCGGGCGAAATCTTCTGCTTAATAATGTTGTGCATTATATATACATTTTGTCTTTTATTGCTTTTTCTTAACATACTATATTTTGCAATATGCAATAATTTGTAAAATTAAAGCAACCATTTAGTATAATTATAAATAATTGAATAATGATTTTTTGTTGGGATATTTTTTTGTGGCACATTTAATATATTGTAATGTTTTCTTCATACATAATCATACAGGGTGTAACAAAAAGATGAGAACAGATTGTGTGTTTTTTTTTCCGGAGGAAGAAGGAAAAATGCCTCGCGCATTCCTGACCCCGGCTGTCAGGTTATGTGGGGCTTGCACCCACTAAAAAACCTCTCCCCAACATGCAGCACGCCGGACATAGGTTACATCACATGGGAGACTCAAGGTATTACTTCACGAGATGTAACAGTCCTCACGCAGAGGCAACAGTAAGACGTAAACCGAAGACACAGGACACACGGTAGGTCATCTCAGGAGGGGTGTTCCCGCCCCCGGAAGAGGACGCACCCTAGTCGGGCGGCGGGATCGCGCGGCACCATTGACATGAGGGCCCCATGTCCTGCAATATCGAGGACCAACGCGTCCATCACTCGACCACCTCGGGAGGCCCCCATGATAATGACCGCGGGCAGTCATATCACTGAGGGTCCCCTTCATCGGCTGTGAGAACGTTCGTCCAGGGACATTCCCACCCCCCCTCTCACACACATACAGCAGCACACGCGCACGTGTGCGAATTAGACGAGACAGGGACCGCCTCTATCCGGAGAGGGGTTCCACACATAGCTAACTAACCCACGAGTAAACTCGTTAGACTAGGGCATGCACCCACCCCGGGGTTTTTCCCGCTCCCGGAAAAGAACGCATCCTAGTCGGGCAGCGGAATCGCGCGGCACCAATGAAATAAGGGCCCCTGTCTTGCAGTGTCGAGGACCAGCGCGTCCGTTGCCCGACCACCTCAGAGGACCCTCATGATGATGACCGCGGGCAGTCATATCATTGAGGGTCCTCTTCATCATTTGCGAGAACGTTCGTCCAGGAGCATTTCCACCCCACCCCACCCCCCCACACATGCAGCAGCACACGCACAGACGTGCACTAATTAATTAACCAATTAACCCACGAGTAAAGACTCGTTAAAACCAGGGCGTACGACCCACCACCATATGCGGGATCCTAAGACCCCCATCCCCAGCCACGCACACGCGGCGAGGCGACAATCGCCCTCCCCCCCCCCGCCGCCCACCCCAACTTTTAAGGGCAAGGGGAGAAAGGGGGGAGAGGGAACGCAGACTAAAGACGCCCCGAGAGAGCCCCGCCGCAGTCGAAGAGTTCCCAAGGGGAACGACCAACCGCGGACCGCAGCCACAACGGGACATCCGGAACCCGCTGCCTAGCAGCGGGTCCGGAGCCCCGCGAGCACAGCGGTGAGCGGCGGACCCCGGCCGGCCGACCCCCCAAGAAACCAACGACCCTCACGACCAAGCCCCCAAGAGAGAACCATGATACGCAAAAACGCAACCTATAAAACTATAAAACTATAAAAGACTATAACTATAATGCGGGGCAATACAACAGCCCCAAGGCGGACCAACGCCGGCCGCCCCAGACTCCACCCACCCCTCGGGATCCGAGAGCGTCGCACGAGTCGACGCACCGAACCCCAGGAGGGGAGAGAATCCACACCGACCAGCGCCCGACCGTCCCAAAGGACCAAAAGAAAAAGCCCCGCCCGCACACAACAAACAATCCGCAGGAATATAAAACAATATCAATAAAAGCGGAGTCGCTACTCGTCCTCCATCGCATCCCCGGCGTCAAGTCCCACGGGGTCCAACAGTATCTGCTGCTGTCTTCTGCGCTCGTCCTCTTCTTTTCTTTGCAGTACTCTTTCGGCAAAGACCGAAAATGCCTTCCACGACTCCTTACTGGAACACATAGCTTCGACGACTTTGTCAAGTGCCAGGTTCTGGCCGATGACAGCAGTCAGCTCTCCCCTCTCGAGGCCCCAAGAGCCGCAAATGGCTAAAGTATGTTCTGAGGTATCATTCTCTGCGTTACAGTACCGACAGACGGGTGTTTCCTCCTTCCCTATTTTGAAGAGGAAGGCCCTAAAACAACCGTTCCCCGTCAAGAATTGCGTTATCCTGAACGTTAAGAACCCGGTACGTCGGTCCAACCATCCCTCGAAGTTCGGGAGTATCGCTTCTCTGGTTCTTCGTCCCGCGAGACGCGGATTCCGGATGTGGTTCTTTCATTCCTCCCGCAGAGCCTCCCATTCGTGCTTCCGAACGGCAGCTGAGGACACTCTGTTAAAAGTGCCCTCCTCCTTCATTCTCCTTAGACGCATATACGTGCGCTTCCGCGTATAGATCTATCAATGGAATACGGGCAAGTAATGTAGCCGCCTTATACGAGACGGTACGATATGCCATCGTCGTACGGGCGGCAGTCAACCGCAGTGCGCGTCTGAGGATCTGAGGATCCGTTGTTTGTTTTCAGATGCGCAGAATTCTTCGCCCCAAATAGGAGCCGCGTAGAGCGCGATTGAAGTGTTTATCGTATAATATAACCTACGCTTGCCCTCCAAAGGACCTCTCAAGTTTGGAAGCAGCCCGTACAATGCCCTGTTGACCCTAGTGATCTTTTCCGCAACATATTTATGTGCGTATTAAACGCCCAGTTCTTATCGATATATACGCCAAGGTACTTCATACTATATGAGATCTTAATCTCTCTTCCGCCGTAGACAAAGATGGAGTTTTGTACCATCCGGAGCAATATATCTCACCCTTCTACCTCTGAGGTAATCTTCCAAAATCCGCCGCAAGTACGGTGGAACCCGCTTATTTCAAAGTGCCCCTCTAATGCTTGCATGTTTAATAGAGTTAAAGGCGTTCTCTATATCGAGGGATATTGCCAAGGCGACCCCGCCTTCCGCCCGGGCGGTTGTTATTATATTTTTCACCAGGAAAAGGGCATCAACCGTTGATCGCGACCTTCTAAAACCAAATTGGTTCCCGGACAGGTCGTAAGTCGGGTTTTCACTAGTATGTATCGAGACGATGTACGATGA